AGCAGAATAGGGTCCAAGTTAGAAGAAAGCAGATGACAGAGCTCATGCCAGCTTGTCCTGATGTTCCCAGTAGTGTGGGAGGAACCCTCCTTCATTGGGATGGTGAGATGGGGGAATCCGCAAATGGTATTGGAAGTTTAAGAACAATGGGAAAGTCCTGGAAGAACCACCAAAGGCAGTGTGCCAAGGGAATCTATGGGAAATTCAGAGTCTAAACAGCAGCTGTGAGGCTTGGGGGAAGTTTGATGTGGCTGTAGAGAAGACTAGGTAATTGTTACTTCCTACTTCCTAGTGTAACTTGGTGACCTTATAGTAAGTTTGGAGATAAATGTTGGTAGAGAAGATTGGGCCTAGAGATAGCAAGTCAGTTAAGAGATAAGGCTTTAGAGTAACTGCCTGGGTTTAAGACCAAGCCCCAGCACTTTACTTTTGGGAACACTACCATTCACTTTTGTACCTCCCTTTTCCTCATGCTAAAAATAGAGATAATAGAATCAGTTTTAGGATTGATCAGTTTTAGTAAGATGAAATGAGTTATACTGCCATATTTCATCTAGCCTAAGATGCTGCTAATTCTAAAACATTTCATGCACTACTGAGGAAAAACTGTCGATTAGACATGACTTAACCATTGATGGTAAATTTCCTGTTTGTTAAAATGTGAGAGAGGGGAGGAGTATCTTAATGGTCAGTGAAGGACAGAATATACATAAAGGATTTGACGTAGGACCTGGCGCATCTTCAACATTCAGAAGATGTTAGCGATTCATAAAAATCAATGTGATATTAGAGTCTAGAATGTTAGTGAGAGCAATATCAAATCCAATCTAGATAAGGGGGTCACAGGTTATAAGTAGTCTAATGGCCTAAACAGAGATGAATTAAGCAATGGGAATCCTGGTAGTGAAATTGTGAAATACCAAGTTTGGGAATTTGTAGATGGAGCATTTCCCTGACAATTGTAGATAAATGTTTCTAAGAAAAATACAGTAATTGGACTAAGAGAAGAGTGCACTTTAATAATTTAAAGAATTACATAAACTGCCCAGAGCTTTTAAAAGTAAGTTTCTGAATTTATCTGTGGCTTTTATTACAGTATTCGTTAGTGTTTAAAAATGTTTTTTATTGTACTTCATATACAATCTATTGGTTTCAGGTGTACAACATAATTGACATTATGAAATGCTCACCATGGTAAGTGTAGTTACCATCTGTCACCATACAGAGATATTACAAAGTTATTGGCTGTATTCCCTGTGCTATACTTTTCATCTCTGACTAAAACTTTTTTCCATTGGAGTAATACTTGTTCAGTGAAGAAGGATTCTGGCTTGGATTCTTATTAAAGCATCAGAAGGAAAAGAGATTGATCTGTACCATTTCATCAAGAAATGAGAGATGTAATAGCCAGCTAAGGAGCCCTTCTAAACATGACTTCAAAGACAGAAATCATATAAAGGAATATTCTTTAGATTGACAACATTTATGTGACCAAACCCACACTTAAAATGACCAAACATGTACCCAAGACACAATCTTCTGGGTAACAAAGTTGCAGCAAGTTACTGTTCTTTGTAAGAAACCTTGTAAATCAATAGGAATACACCACCCCAATAGAAAAATTGGTAAAGGACAAGCAATTCACAAACAAATGAAATGGAAACTACTGATTAACATAAAATGTTTTGCGGTATCCTGTATCAGATTCCTTATTAGAATGGAGATGATGTCACCTCTTTTACCTCATTGTGTCACTCTTTGTGGACCCGAAAGTATCAGTCTGGGAAAACTGGGCTAGTCTCATTGAAGCCAAAATTTCCCAGCTGCCTAAGAGAAGCTGGAGTTAAAAGAAGTACCATGTGTGTGTGAGCTGGGGTTTTAAGACACAGGCCTCCATCCCATTTATTTGATGTTACCCTACTCTTCCCCATGACGTGATTTTGGGCTGGGAGTCTCCTCATTACAGTGTTAGTCTTCCCAGCCATTTAGGGGCTATCAGTTACACAGTTTCCCAATCAACTGGCATGATTGATGAGCCTTAACGACACCAGTGCTTCATAGAGAACATCAAGATGTGTCTTTTTCTATCATCCCTGAGTTGCAGTAGATTTTATTTAGAGTGGCATTTCCTTATTCATGAGAGACAGTGATCTTGGAATATGGTTTTGATTATTGAGATGGATTAGTTCATAAGGTATTAAAGTGAGAAAAGTTTTCCCACATATTAAATGCTCTTATAAACGGAGAAACATTTAAAGAGGCATCAGCATTTAATTTCCGAGATTTTTCTCTTAAGGCTAATAGGGATCATGGGTGTAAAAAAGGCTATTCACATGCTGCCCTTAAGGGAAACATCTGCTGGTTATCGGGATCCTTACCTAATGGAAGTACACACAAGGTCTTACCTCAGCATTGAGTTCTTAATGTAGCCGCTAGACAGAATTTGTCAGCATCTTGTGCTTCACCATCGCCTTTCTTTTAAATCATCTGTAAATATTTCAAAGATGGGGGTGAAAGGCTTTTAGATCTCATTCACAGGCTCACCACGTGGCCTTTTACCATCTCAGCCCCATCCTTCAGTCCTTTCTGAGTGACCTTGACTGGGAATAGAGACTGTAGTTGCATTGGTCTGACTTGTCTCTCAAACTTTTTAAGCTAAGTTGGAGAGGGAGGATGGGCATCTGAAAAATGGGTCTTAATTTTATCAAAGACGGTAACTTCATGAAAGGGAATAATAATGATGTGGTGAATATTGCTTTAAAAACTGCATATAGGAGCTCAGAACTGCTGATTGTATGTAGCTTGCCATCTCATCTATCACGACTTCTTGTTTTGCTTTTTGCCCATGGCTGGTTATGCAGTCTCACGTAATTAAAAAGAACCTCTTTATTTTCTCTGTATTCATGTTTGTGTGCTCAGGATTTGTATTTAGTTTGTTCAAGCTTGAGGGAATGTTTGTTTCAACCAATGGATTGTTTTTCTGTTAATTATGAAGAAAATTAGCTTAACATTTAAATGATTGGCACAAAATCTGTATTTATATACTTATTTGAATATAAACACTGAAGAGTTTTGTCTTGTCAGATTGTATAGGCTGAGATGTTGATCTGTATTCCAGGAAGCGTTTTTTTAAAAGGGTTCTGCCTTTCATTAAGCCAGTATTAATTCAACAAGCATAATATCATGCATTCCTAGTGTGCATACAACACTGAGCTGTATTTGGGGAAGGATAGAGAAATGTGTAAGTCAGTTTCTGCTTTGAAAAAAATCTTATTGGTAAGAGTATACAGTATCTTATTTAGGTAATAAATTACCTAATTTAGGAAAATTTAGGTAATAAGCCATCATTGTTAATGTTAAATAGCCTTAGTTTGAAAGTATTTCTGTCATAGTTGGGATAGTCTTTCAAAATCAAGAGATTGGGAAGGTAAACTGATACAGTTGGTAGAGCTCTTGCTTCCTGCCCACTTCTATCTCAGTTGATCTTTTGAGTATCTGTATTTGTAATTCTGTTCATAGTGATCTCTTATACAGTTTGATAACGTTGGGACTTGAGCTAAAGACCTTGTAACTTTGAGGAACAATACAAACCTGCTTGTCTAGTCTAGCTTTTGTTTTATGGCTTTTATTACAGTTATCCTATTAACTCTTTAGACTGAGTTCCTTGAGGGTATATGGGCAGTGTCTTTGGGTCGGCATTATGATTCCCACTTGTCTGCATATCAGAGACACCAGAACAACCACCACTACAAAAAAAAAAAAAAACGCATGAGCCCGCCCCTAGCGGAACCTATTCAAGGGCTGTGGCAGGGAGCTTTATAAGAAGTGCCAAGGTAAGCCTAACATACACCATCATTACGAGCTAGTGCCCTGACACACAGTAGGTACATGAGTGAATTTTTTCATTTTGATGTTTTTAAAAATGAGTCAGGAAATGTGACTTGTATGGTGTAAGTTCATTGCAGGTATAAACTATGTCTTTTATACCCAGCAGCATTTGGCACTGTGACACCTGGTGCAGGTGCTCAAGACATATCAGCAATTCTGAGGATTGGTTGAGTGTTTCACTCCCCCCTTTCTTCTTATGAAGAAAGGGTATGTGTGTTTGACATTTTTGCCTTTTGCCTTGAAGAAATCAGCAATTCCTTGAGTCCTAGAGTCTATATGTGGAGCTAAATAAAGGTTTTGAAGCCTGGGTGCTTAGATTCCAAGAAGAAAAGGAGAGGAAAAATGTGGTGGAATAAGAGCAATGGTTCATTTGATGTCTGGAGGAATGTGAGGTTGTCGCACTGTTGGGAGGGCAGCGGTATTTCTAGCAGCAGTTAGCAGGTGGAGGGCAGGCATGCTGTAGTACCTATGATGCTAAGGTTGAGAAACCCTGGTATAAGAGGATGAAAAAGGAGGGGGGTGGATCAGGAGACGAAAGGTAACGGAAGTGGTAGTGTCACCAACTGTAGCTTCTGCCCCACCAGTGTGCAGTTTGCTTTATTTTTCCCTACTACTCATCCCCTCCCCCAGATCCTCCAAAGTTCAGAGTACTATTTTTTGTCATTCTCTATAGGTAGCATTGTGACTGCCAGCTATGTATTAGCAATTAAAATGCATGTTGAATATTTAACCTATAATGAAATAATGATATGTGAAAGAGTCCTTTAGTTACATTTTCTCCATTTTATTGCCTTAAGAAAAAAAAATAAGCCAGTAATTTCTGTTCCATTTTATGTTTTCAGTAAAGGACCCTATGAATAATCAGTGGGAATGTAAAGAAAATGAATTTCTTAAAAGGAATTTAATTTTAATGTTTCACATGGCTCACTATAAAAGACTATTAAGAGTTGAACATATATGTGGGCTTTGGTGTGAAGTAATGGTGTCAATTTCCTAATGTCTTACAGAGTTACTGTTTATAACTTCTTATCCCTATTATTGGCTCTTTAAAAATGAGTTTAATTTTGTCACTGCTGCCCTAATAAAAACTCTTCGTTTTTCACACGTTCTAGGAAAGTGGGAAGATACCAAGAAGGAAAGCTACAATGAAAACAAGTTGGGAAGGGAAGGAATTGGAGGGATTAAAATAAAAGTAAGCAAATCCTTGCTTACTATCCCTTCTACTTTATGCGTGAGACAGAGGAGGTGGTTATAGGAGAAGCCGGGTGGTAGATCGCTTGCCCTGGCAAGCTCCTTAACCTCCCTGCATCTCGGTTTCATCATCATCAAATAGTCCTTCCTAATAGGATCCTCATAAGGATTAAGAGAGTTAATAGATATAATGTGGTCTTGGCGCTTTGTGGTGATGGTGATCTGAGTATGATTTCTGTTTTTTTCAAATACTTGAACTTGCTTGAAAATTGATGAAGCTCTGGATGCATATTTGCCTGCTGTCACCCATCAAACCACCTGCAAGACAGCTCCCTCCCTCTGATGTCAGTAGTGATGGTGATAAAAGTTTGTTGAATCCTCAAACTGGTATTTTCAGATGTTCTGTAAAAGCTGTTTCTTGCCTATAGTCAGAATTTTGAGAGGAAGACAGAGTGATTTATATAAAATGTGTTTGTAAGTTTTTATAATATAGTAAAACCGTTCTGATTTACTGTCATCCACTTAGATTTTCCATAGGAATACTTCAGCCTTGAAGAGGCATTTCTATAGAATTCACTGTGTTCTCAGGATATATAGTATATTATTAGTATAAACAAAATGTGATAAGGAATTAAAATCTCTTTCATAAAGCACAATACATTCCAAAAACAATGTTTAAATTTTTTTTTAAATTTTTGAGAATTAATTGACATACCATATTATTGGTTTCAGGGGCACAGGAATGTGATTTGACATTTGAATACATTGCAAAATGTATTCACTGTAAGTCTAATTACAATCTCTCACCTTAGAAAGTTAATACAGTTTTATTGCCTATATTCTGTACATTATATCTCCATGACTTATAACTGGAAGTTTGTACCTCTTGAGTCTCTTTACCCGTTTTTGTCCCCTCTCAGCCCTCCCCTCTGGCAACCTCCAATCTGTTCTTTGTGTCTGTGAGTCTAGGTTTTGTTTTGTTTGTTTATTTATTTAATTCCACATAATCAGTGAAATCATGCTTTGTTTGTCTGTCTTTGACTTCACTCAGCATAATGCCCTCAAGGCCCACCTATGTCACAGATGGTAAGATTTCCTTCTTTTTTATTTTTTGGAGCTGGATAATATTCCATTGTTTGTGTATGTGTATTATATAAATATATTCCATTGATGGACATTTAGGTTGTTTCCATGTCTTGGCTACTGTAAATAATGCTGCAGTGAACATACATCTTTTTGAGTTAGTGTTTTCATTTTCTTTGGATAAATAAATACCCAATAGTGGAACTGCTGGATCATATAGTAACTATTTTTAATTTTATGGGGAACCTTCATTCCGTTTTCCATAGCTCCTGTTGCACCAATTTACATTCCCACTAACAGTGAACGAGGGCTCTCTTTTCTCCACATTCTCTCCAGCATGTGTTATTTCTTGTCTTTTGGGTAATAGCCATTCTGACAGGTGTTAGGTGATCTCTCAGTGTGGTTTAGATTTGCATTTCCCTGATGATTAGAGATGTTGAGTGTGTTTTCATGTACCTGTCGGCCATCGGCATATCTTCTTTGGAAAAATGTCTACAATTGTTCATTTGTATTAAGGCCGCTTTGGATTATCCATTCCATTGTTCATATCCACTGGTGACTCATTGTCAGGCAGTTGAACCATTTGGGGTTTCCATTGCACAGTAGGTAACAAAGCCTCGATGCACAGGAGATGGAGTTAGGACAAACACGATGGTATAGATTGATGGCCACTTGGCCTGTATGTGTGTCCTTAGATAAACAGCTGAACATGTATAATGTTTATCATAGTCAGTCTTAGGAAATGGTTCCCCCACCCCCTGTTTACCACTTTATAACTATAAGCTTGGTAGTGGTGGAACTGTCTCATACTCATTTTCTTTCTACTGCACGTTTATGTTGGTGGAAGTGCTTAAAGAATTTGTGCTTAAAGAAAATAGTGAAGACTAAAGCTCTCCTAGCAGTTGAACATATACAGGAGGAGAACTTGGATTCTGAAGCCTGCTAAGAGCACCCTTAGGATTTTTTACTCTGGTAAATAAGTCAGTGTGAGGAAGTTAATAGGTAGGACTGGACTGAACAGGTGATGGGAGGTAGAAAAGGTCTAGATTTACGGTACAGGCCTGTCTCCTTCTGTAGCTGCTGCTTGCTCAGATACAAACATTGCACCTCTGATCCAGTGGACAGCATTGCCTTTGCTTCTGGAAGAGGGCTGCTCTTGGTCCAGTTTCTCCTCAGAGGTGGCCAAGAGAATGTTAAATCCAGTCAGTTTTTGGCAGATTGAAAACAAGCTGTCAATAATCATCATGTGGAGAAGAGTGAAATCTGGCTCATCCTAATATTTGTTTCAGTGGTTATGTAGACTTTGATTTCTTAAACATATTTTATTCTTCCAAATAACAGATTGATATACTGGAAATGGGACAAGACAAATTGCACTTGGAGATATATATAAGGAATACAAAGTTTTTTTTTGGTAAGAAATTTATGCCTTGAAAACTTAGAAGGATATTTCAGTTGTTACTGGGAAGGGGACTACAGGACTAGGGTGAGAAGGAAACTTACTTTTTGTTATAGTATGCCATTTTGTAAAACTGAATTTTTGATCATACGGCTGAATTGTTTAATAAAAAAATATATTCCCACCCATGTCGTATTCACCCAGAATTAGGTCATATATTCCAGCCTTGTGTTCAGGAATAAATTTCTCTGAAAATCCCAGGTCAGTGGTATTCTGTTCTGTGCAGAAACACTTGTAATTATTTTTTCCTATATAAAATGATAAGTTTTGCCACCTCTTGGTCATAATACTGTCGTGGAGTCATGTAGAATAAATCTCTTACCTACTTAAGTTTGTCTTCCTATACTTTTATTATTGAGAGTTTAAAATTGAAAAGTTAATGGTTATAAGTTAAAAAGATCTGCTGTCCTGCACTCCCTTGCTCCCAGCTCTCTCCTAAAGGTAACCACTTATTCAGTTTTGTTTATTTCCTTCCAGGCCTTTAAAAATGCCCAAATACATGTACAGTTTTTGTTTGTACTTGTGTTTTTAAAGTGGAATCATACTATATATATGTACAGGATATATATTGTTGCTGGAAAGGGGTCTATAGAGTCAGTCCTGCAGCCTTTTTTAACTGAGCAATTATGGTAATGGTTTTATTTCCATGGTAGATATGAAAGGCTTTTTTTTTTTAGCAGTTACATCATTGTGAGATGCACCATGATTTAATCATTCCATTATGCTTAGACATCTGGGTTATTTGCAACATGAAAATCCTTGAACATAGATCTTTGTGTGTGCTCGTTTGAGGGTGCTGCTTCCCAGTAGTGTCTCAGGGCTTGGCTCTTCTCTATCATAAACCTCACACCACGGAGCCTAGAGGTGCAGCGTCCTGCTCATTGCCTCCTCCAGACCATTCTTCCAGCATCCTCCATGGACCTGCTCAGCACTGAATGTCCTGTCAGATTGTACCACTTACTTCTCTTCCTTGGTCGCTTAACTGCTGCCCCACTCCCCATCAGTCACCCTAAGTGCTCCAAGGTTTTAGCTTCTAGCTGTTACTGCCTGCTCACTGGTCTTGTGATAGTTATTGGACTACTTCCTCAGTGACCTGACCCCATCTCAGATCATCTCATGGTTCCATAATAAAGGATTTTGCACTTCAAAAAGTTGAACAGATTTTTCCCAACTTTATGGTTATTTTCTTTATTTACTTAAACAATAAAGTGTATTTGTTCATGGCCATACCTTCAGAACATACCAGAATCTGAACACTTGGCCACACTGATGCAAACCTTTATCCTCTCACACTGTAACAATTGCCACAGCCTCCTAAGTGGTGTCCCTACTACTTCCTACTATTAGTAGTACTATTACTGCTGCTATTACTTCCATCTGTTCAGTCTGTTCTCAGCCTAGCCACAGTGATGCTGTTAAACCCTAAGTCAGATTGTGGCTTTCGTCTCTGCCGCACCTCCCAGTGGTCCCCATCTCAGTTTTGAGTGAAAGCTTTGAAGTCCCTGCAGGTTCCCTGTGTGTCTGCTGCCTTCACCTCTGTGACCCCACCTCCCACTGCTCTGCCCTCACTCGCTCCATTCCATGGACTCCTTGCCGTCCTTGAACTTTTCAGGCATGTTCTTGCCTCACGCCCTTTGCTTTTGCTCTTCACTCTGTTTGCACTGTGCTTTCCCAGATGCCACCTGGCTCAGCGCCTCACCATTTCAGGCTTCTATTTGAATATTACTGTCCCTGACCACCAGAAATGTAGGTCTCATTAAGGTATGGAGTTTTTAAAAAAACACTAGTTCTGTCTCTTTTGTTCAGTGTTGTGTCCCCAGTGCTTAGAACAGTGTCTGGCGCATCATAGGTGCTGAATGGCTGTAGTGATTATTGGCTTTTCTTTTCCTCGTTTCCTTTACTTTTCTCTTTTTTTTTTTTTGGAATAAAGTTAGAACTTCACTGAACAAAATAAGCACTGGGACAGAAACTTCATTTTTTTGGTATATGTTAAGTATTAAAATTAGCTTTCTTATTTGTGAAATACTGCTTTGTTAATAAAATACATTTTTCAGCATGTTATAATTTTCAAATCAATTTTACATATTCCTATTTAAGCCTCCTAACAACCCAGCAGGGTAGGTGGCGGAATCAATATTTTGTGGAGAAGCAAGTTTGAGGCTCAGGCGTTTTGTTCCAAGGAAACTGGAAAAGTGCCATTCCACCTACTTCTTTTCATTCCAAGTGAAGGGCTCTTGTTTTCTCATTCAGAAACATCTTAAAATGACAGAAAAATCGTAGGGGTTTACTTGAAAGCCTGGAGAATGTAATGTGTCTTGATTTTTTTATTCTGGGTTGGTCTGCTTTTTGTTTCCATTTTGAAAGTACATAAAATAAATGGTTAACTTTAAAAGTCCTGACAATGACAGATCAACAAGTTTTATTTCTCTCACCTGTGGAGGAAGTGGCCTCCACCCAGT